AGTGGGCAATGAGCTGGATTTAAAACTGAACAGCCTGGCCTAGAGGGTTGTGATCAGTGGTACAAGGTCCATCTGGAGGCCAGTCACTAGTGGTGTACCCCAGGGGTCCATAATGGGGCTGGCACTGTTCCACATCTTCATCAGTGACCTGGGTGATGATGCAGAGCGCACTCCTGGAAAGTCTGTAGATGATGAAAAACCTGGCAGGAGTGGCTAATGAGCCAGGGGATTGTGTGCTGGCATGGAGAGAGAGATCTTGGCAGTCTGGACAGAGAGGAGCCTCTTAAAGATAAGCTCAGGATGTGCCAAGTCCCGTATCTGAAGATACTTGAGGGCAAACTCTTGTACCAATACAGGCTGGAGGCCATCTGGTTGGAAAGCAGTTCTGCACAGATCTTGGGGGACAACAGGCTGACCATGAACCAACAAAATGTTTTTGTGACCAGCAGTTTCCTGGGCTGCTTTAGGAAGAGTGTTGCCAGCAGGTTGAGATCCTTTCCCTCTACTTGGCAGAGGTGAGGCCACATCTGCAGTGTTGTGTGCAGTTCCAGGATCCCCAGTGCAAGAGGGGCATGGACTTACTGGGCTAAGTCCAGCACAGGCCCACAAATATGATGAAGGTCCTGGAGATCCTTCCCATAAGGAGGGTCTGAGAGAGCTGGGGCTGTCCAGCCTGGAAAAGAGAAGGCTCAAGGGTATCTTATCAATGTAAAAATACCTCATGGGAGTAAAGAGCGGGGAGACCGATCTTTTTCAATGGTGCCCAGTGACAAGCCAAGAGGCAGTGGGCACTTGCAAGTGAATCTGAACACCAGAAAATGCACTTCTGCTATAGATGGCATTGAACACTGGCATGGGCTGCCCAGAGAAGTTGTGGAGTCTCCATCCTTGGAGATAATCCAAACTTAGCTGAACATGGTCCTGGGCAATTGGTTCTACATGCACCTGCTTGAGCAGGTTATGGGACAAGAAGACCAAGTCTGTTCCAACCTAAATGAGACTCTGGTTCTGTATTTTCCTTTCTTCCCCTCAAAAAACTGAGCAATATTAGACCCAGGTCATTCTTGACAGTATTGTTGCATTGTATGGTTTGTGAAATATGTTGGAAAATGAAGCTCTGAGCTGTATATCTGTATTAATTACCTAACAGGTAGTTTCCAGCACAGCAGTTAATTTGAAAAGTTAACTTGTGGAAGAAGATGTAGAAGGACAGAGACACATTTGCCCTTTCACAGAAGTATAGCTTTTGACTCTGTAATTCTATTCCAGGCTTGTCAAAGTCTCTTTTTCATAAAAGCATTTTTAAAAATGCAGAATGTTTCCTTCAGAAGCAATTTCTTACCCTTACAGGTTTCATCTGTTAAAAAAAAATCAGCATGTTTTCTGATGGAGACTGCTGACTAGAACATCTGGTTTGTATCCTAGCAGATGACCTCTCTAAATTAATCGATCCCAGTTCTAATGGGGTGACCTGTTTAAAATAGCTCTCTGCTGGTGTGTATTTTCTTGTCTTTGGCGTTTAAACTTTGAAGTACATCTCTTCCTGGGATTTTTAGAAATTATCTTCTATTTTCTCTTCAGTTTTTTCTGAAAAATACTGGTGCTTCAGCCCAGTATTGGAAACTGATTTTGATTAAAATGATTTTAAATATAAGCCCCTTTTTCCTGGATGTTTGTAACTGGTTCAGTATTGGATTTCTCAGGGTCAGCACCTAAGCCAGGCTGTACTGTTTGTTCCCAGGCTGGGCAGCGCACAGCTCAATAGCTTTTACATTATGCTCTGACCACACGGGGTGGAGCAGATCGCTGCTTTCCTAGGTCAGTTTTGCAGTTACGTTTTACAGAATGAGGTAAAAAATAGTCTGTGTCTGATAATTCAGAAAAGCTGCCGTTAAAGGATAATCACTCCACATAATCCTTTGCGTTCTGCTGAATGCTTACGCATTGGATACTACTAAACTGCATGCTGTTTTCATGGAAAGAAAAAGCATTAAAGAGTGGTTGGACTTTTATGACACTTTAAAGATAAACTAGGTTTGTATTTTATGACTCTGTGTCCACTCCCATGGTGTGGTGCTGTGGTTTAAGAAAATGCGTTAGTTAAAAAAATATGTATTAGTTAATGTAAAAGTTAGTTTATGTGCTCCTAAAAACCTATTTAATAGTTACATAGAACAGCTAATGAGGAGAGAGGGAAATATAAAAATGATACTGCTTTCTGAAGATGACTGCTCAGTTCCTGTAGCATAAATTGTAAACTGCTTCCTTAAATTCTTTTCCTTGGAAAGTGAGAAAAGAGCAGTTGTCTGCGTGGCATTCACTGAAGGTCACTAGTGTGTTGATGACTATAATAGCAGAGTTGTGGTTGTTTTGGGTGACCTTGCACAAGTCCTTAGAATAGGGTTAGTTAAGGTAATTAAAATTTGTCTTTACAGTGTGCTTATTAAACACGATTGATCCTAATGTTACATTGTACTCATCCTCCCTGATGAGCAGAAAGGCTTTCATTTACAACAGTGCAAATGCTACTTTCCTGGGCACCCCAAGTGTTGTCCATAGGGTGGTTTGCTCTGACCGTGGATGTTCTGCAGGGTAGCAGAGATGTAATTTCACAGAATATTCTGAGTTGGTTGCTGTTTTGTTAGTAACAATTAAGAGGCAAGGAAAACCTAACACCTATTTCATCAAGAAAGAAAGAAGGTTTTCTGGTCCTCGGTGAATGTACAATCTTTGGGAGAAAAAAGAAAATTCTTAAAATGTAATTTAGTCTGCAGTCTGGTAATGGGTAATTTGTTTGTTTTCTGATGCTGTTAGCAATTTAAGGCTACACAGCTGTTACGTGTTTGTGTAAAAGGACATTACCTGCTAGCGTGTTCTCTTTCTGTCTCACTCTTGTGCACACACACACAAATTTGTGCCCCTTCCCCTCCCTCCTGGAGAACCGCCGGCCAGGATATCCTCTGGGAACAGCAGCACCGTTTCCCAGTTGGAGCTGTGTGCATTTAAGCTCACTGATCTCAATGCCATGTGACTGGAAAGGCAAGGAGCAGATTGCCATCCAGTGCACACTCTCCAACCCCTCAGATAGAAAGAAAAAAAAAAAAAAATAAAAGAGGAAAAAAAGAAAAAAAAAAAAGAGGGGGTGGGAGTGAGGAGGGGAGGTTCCCTTGCTTTTTTTGTAGCGCTCAATTCCTGCTGGAGCTTGTTTGCCGCAAGCTCAGTTCATGGCAGTAACAGAAGCAGCAGAGCCTATCTGGTAGCTCAGTGCTCTCAATGAGGTCAAGCTGGATCAAAGGGAAGCCTCCTGTGGAAGCATCTACTGTAAGTTCTGATACTGCTTTTTCCGTGCTGCCTCCAAATGAATCGTAGCCTGTACGACTGAGCCAGGCTTTGGTGCTTTATTCCTCCCTGACTGATAATTTTGCATGAGGTTGTCAGGTTTTATGTTAATTGAACTTGTCAGTGGGGCGTCAGTTGGGTAATAATGCTGTGCATTTTGGGAGAAAAGGGTTTATCGTTCTCTCCTTTTATTTTCTGAGGGAGCGGGAAGAAGAAAGTGTGGTTTTGTCCTTTTGAAAAGCTCCAAGCTGCTGAGGTTACAGCTCACCAGATTCTGTTTTATGTAATCTACATATTCTACTTTCTAAATAAAGCAACTGTAAAGTGTCTTGCAGATGTCCTTGGATTTCACCAAATAGCTATTCTTTTAGGAATAGCTACCTAAATATTTAAGTAATTAAAAAAAAAAAAGTAAAAAAAAAAAAGTACTTTATTCAATGGAAGCCTCTGTAGTAACTAAATTTCAAAGAAACTCCCCTTACACAAGCTGCAGTTCACCTGAGGGGTCTCTAATGTGATCATTCAGAAATATTCCTTTGAAACCTAATTCTGGATATCAGCTGGTTTTAGTGAAACTTTTCAGTTGCGTAGGCTCCCACAGTGAGATGAAAAATTTCTTGTTTTATGTTATGTACTAGCTGTTTCTGCAGAAATGTAATTTAGCATAAAAGAAGGCTAACTTTTGCAGGGAGTGTTGTCTCATTTACAGCACGGAGTTTTTGGGCAATAATGACATGCTGGGCTGTAATTTTTTATCTACAACCCAGATAATTTTTTATCTATAACCCAGGTTTTGTTTTTTTTCCCTTGAAGTACAAAAAGCTTACCTGAATACATATCTGGAAAGCTTGCCGAGTGGTTTCAATGGATTGAACAAAGTAACTACCACCTGTTTGGATTATTGTTAGTTATACATTGTAAACCCTGAGGAAAAATAAAATATCACAAGTCATTATCCCTTTTGCCATAAAGTTTCTCTTGAAGGGACTGGCATGGTACCTGTCTATTGATATTCAGCTTGTATTTTTGGAAACTCAGCAGCACTGACATTGTGCTGTGAACTGATGAAGTGTTGTAATAGTTATAAAGAGTTATGGCAGTGCTCTACTTCCCAAAATCTAATGTCTTTGGGTTTTTTTCCAGAGGTGTGTTGTTTGATTATAGTTATCTTTTTATCTTCTTTAGTTCATAACTTGATTTCCTTAAATATCTACCTTTTAGTTTGGATAGAGAAAGGGAAAAAAAAACCTGTGAAATCGGGTCATGCAGCATATATGTATGACATGAATATTTTCTGGGGAGATTTATGAAACAAACTAGAAGACTCATTTTGAACTGCATAATTCTATTTAATGAAAAGATGACTTGTTACTTAAATATGCTATGAGTTTTATCTGACAGGACTGCAGTATAAATATGAGAAGAGAATGTGTAAATTAGCATTTCATCCTTAGTATTCTCATTCTGGGGAAAGGATCAAAATCCTTTATGAACCCATCACTGGATTTGTTTAATTTATTTTGACTTTATATCTTTTCTTGGTTTTAACAGAGGCTGTCTTCAGTTCATCGAAGACAGGTCCATTTTTAAACATATATAGTGGGGAAAAATACCCATTCTGTATCTTTTTGTCCAGATGGTGACGTTTCTTTTCTTTTCAGCATTCAGCTTCTGAGTTGATCCTAGTTGAAGATGAAATGACAGATACTGAAGATAATGAAGAGGAGGATTTAGGAGTCATGGATGATCAACGTAGTGTAATTCTCCATCTCATCTCTCAGCTCAAACTTGGCATGGACCTTACCAGGGTATGAGCACTGTATCTCTTTTGTATTTGTTCACTATTGTTGTTTCTTCTCATCTTTCTGTGTGTTTGTGTGCACAGCTGGTTCTTTTGAGTGTTTTTTTCCCCTGTGGACAGTGAAATTTTCCTCTTTATAAAAGTGTGGTGGTCCCAGAGAGCTGTGGAGTGCTGTCTCTTGCTAGGCAGGCTTTCACATGACGTGACCACATCATCAGGTATTTTAGAGATGGAGGGACAGGGAAAGAAAAAAAGAAGAATAAAAAAATCCTCCAGAACTCTTGCTTATTTTTTGGCAAGTCTTTCAGAGTAACCATATGTTGTGTATGTAATCCACAAGTATGTCAGGGTGCACTGGGGGTTTGAGGAACAGTAATGGCAATTGTTTGGATGAAGGATATACATGTTCACATAACTGCTTTGTGGATTGGATTCCATTTAATTGCAAGTCAGCTTCAAAAAAAAAAACCATGATGGTAAAGAAATTGCAGTCTTCAGTGTATCAGTTCTTGTCAGTGTTGAGCAGCTCACCAGTTTAACTTTCTGTGCATTTTTCTGGTCCTAGAACCAGGGTTGTCACAAGCTTATCCATACTGATACAAGCAAAGACAAGACAGTGTCGGAGAAATTTTCCCCTAAGCCCTTAGAGTTTTGGAAATGAGGTAGATGTTAAGGAAGCAAGGAATGCTTCTTTTTGAGCAGTCTTGTATCCCAATGAAAACTTCTTATGGGGTTTAATAAATAATCAAGCAGATTTCTGTAAATATAAGGAATACCCTTTCCTTGCACTAGGGTTTTCTACTTAAAAAATCCCCCAAATAGAAGTCCTGTAATCCACTTTTCACAAATAAGAAGCTCATTCTGACACTCTCCACAAGTAATACAAAGTTTGGAGGGAACAAAGAACCAGAGAATTTCTCTGTCACATGAAATAGTTTTGCAGGAAGTTGTTCTCATGTGCATTTTGATCTTCTGAAGAGTTCATCTGCTTTTCTTTTTTTTTAATTTATTGATCAAAAACAATAACTTTCTTACAAAATAAAGTTTTCTCAATGTAGTTTTTTTCCCCTGCTTCCTCTGGGTCTATTGTTAGTGTTTTGAAATAATTACATTTTTAAGACTGAGCAATCCTGTGTTCTGTTGCTGAGTAGCTGCACAGAAATGAATGTTTGATTCTAAATAAAACAAAAGTTTCATCATTTCATTTTGAATAATTTATACCTATCACTTTTTAGTATGTCTGAGGTTATATACAGTTCATTTTTGGTTTTGTTTTTCTTACATTCTTGCTTTTTCTTAACTCTTCTTCTTTTCTGTGTTGGTTTTCTAAGGCTGTCTGAGTCTATAATGTTCAAACTAGGCTAAGATTTCTTATCCAAACAAACAAGGTTTTTCTTTTCTGATATTCACTGTCATCTTTTTGTCATGGAGGAGTAGGCAAAACCCAAAGACACACAGTTAATGTAAATAACTGAAATTCCTGTAAATAAGAGAAGTGTAGACATTTATAAGAAAAATACAAAGGTAAATACATATATGACACCCTGTTTCTTACATAGTGTTCTTAGAGCACAGTTTTTAAAGATAATGATAAATGTTGAAATGAGAAACAGGCATATGGCAGAGTTAGATCTGTCTGTAGATTTCTGTATGATGCATGAATACACATATGATAAATATTAATGAGACATGCCACATGTGCACATCACTTTTCTGCCCATTTTGAGGATTAAAAAAAAAATACAGGACAGCTGGCTGCTTTTTTTATCAACTTTGCTTACTGACATGAGGCCCTTAGGGCCACTGACATGTGACTGTAAAGCTGGGTTTGTTGGCTGCACTTCATCCCATTTTTCATTATTCCTCTGAAAGTCAGAGGAGCACCTTGATGCTCATCATCTTCTGCTGGAAGTGGTTGTGGCACAGTAGTTGGTAATATCAGAGGCTGTTTTTACATGTTTCCATTTTCCTGTGCCTTCTTCCCTAGGGCTGTGTCTTTGGTTCATTCTGGGAGGTGTGGATTGCTGTATGAGACTCACATGAGCAAACAGCTTTTTCTGAGCCCTTGGTGGTTTTGGGTTCTGGATGCATGAGCATTACCTTCACATTCCATATCACAGGAAACAGCATCTTTTCCTTATGTTATCCAAGGCCTTGCCTGTGCTGACAGCAGTTTCCCACAGTGAAGATAGCCACATTTAATGTTGTGGAGGCGCTTCACTTCTGGAATGTGTCATACTGCTGTGGCTTTTAGCGAGGAGTTAGAGTAGAAACTGCTGTGAAGGAGGACACCTACAGTGAAGTATCAAATCTGTGTGGGGATTTGCTAGAATGGGCTAGACTCTGTGATGGCCAAATAGACTTGAGCAGCTGCTAGAGAGAGTTGGATGGGGAGCAGGTCACAGCAGCAGAATGTGGTATACAACTGGTGCTTCAGACTGGGACGGGACTTTCAACCTCATTTAAAACTAGAATTGCTGGGGAAAAATCCAAGTTTCTAGGTTGTTTGTTCTTCAAAAAGATGAAAAGTAGTGCCAAAACCCACTGACAGCCTTTGTTGGCAAATGGCATCTAATGGATTGCAGTTAATGCTAACAGTTTGTACAGATGGGTAATCACTCCCCTGCATTCCCTCACCTTCCTTACATAGTTAATATGTGCTAAAAATAAAGGGTTTCTATTCTGTGTAAAAGGGCTGTCAGTAATTCTGCAGAATGTTAACCTGTTGTAAATTGGCATTGTGATGTGTTCACGATGTCATAAGCTTTTACTTTCCATGCTAATATTCTTTTACCTTGCAATTTTAAAATGTAAGTGGCATGAAAATAGCTTGTTTTAGTCCCACAATGGCACAGATGACAGTGAAAAGAAAGCTTTTACACCTCTAAGAGAAGGATATCTCAGTATGAGGTACCTTGGCTGGATTTCTGAAAAAATGATGAAAAATTATGAGAGAATTGAAAAAATTAGGGAATGGTGCTGCTGAAAAAACCCTGTTTTTTCTCTCAGTAAATAATAGTGGGGATAAATATCTCTGTTCTTAAGATGTTGTGCTCATTTTTCTCAGTTACATTCAGATCTAGTTAAGTGAATTCAAGCCTAGGAAGTTATGGGCAAGTTTTGAGCCAGTATTGTCTTTTTAACCTCAATGAAAATGAACTCTTAAACTGCTTTCTTTTCATCTGAAGATTGAGAATGAGTAATAATATATTATTCTAACATTTTAGAATGCAGTGAGGATTACTTCTGCTTCAGACTTCAGAAGCTTGGTATTTATTCTAATGAGTTTCTTTTGTCCAATTGGTTGTCGTGCTGGCATTTTCTCAAAGTCAAAAATTAGTCAGTTTTGACTTCCTATGCAATTAAAAAAAATAAAAATAAATCATAGTCCTGTCCAAAGCCAGTATAAAGAACTTAGGTCTGAAGTGTATTTTTCTTGTTACTTCATTCTGTCTGGCTGAAGAAGAGTTGAAAACCACATTCCTTTGAGAGCTGGAGTGCTGGCACAAGTGCACAACAGCCCATTGCTGGCAAGAAGAATGCTGTACACTTGCAAATTTGTTTATTTCTATTTTTCTTATTTCTGTAGAAATCAAGATAGGGCCAATTAAAAAAAAATAAATTATTGATGTGATTTTTATTCTTTTGCTATGTTAGTGTGTGGTGGTGTTGCATATTGAAACTTTGAGGCTATGAGATTATTTAGTAAAAGGCAATGCTTTGTAGGCATATTTTGTAATACTGCAGTTGTGTGAGCTTTAAAACTCAAGTATTTGCCTCCTTGTATGGAAACAATTCAGTTATTCACTAGATCCTTTCCTGCCACAATTAAAGATGTCATTTCCAGCTTAGCTGGGCTTTTAAAGCAAGATTGAGCTGGGGTTTAGGCCTTATTCAGATTTTAAATTGATTGTTGAAACTCAATAATAAGAGTCCAGTGATTGAACACATCTCATTTAGTGGCAGTGCTGGCGTAGCTGTGTTAAGCAAAGCACGCATCTAGGACTTAAGGGAGGAGATACCAAGACTCTATGACCACATCAGTGGGATGAAACCACAGCAGTCTCAGTGTTGTACCATAAAATCTGCATCATCTGAAGTATGGTCTGCAGTTTTCTTCTCCCCTGTTTGTGCTAATAAAGGTCAGTGTCTTTAGAGAGAGGCTCTTGGACGTAGCGAGATGGAGAGTGCTGTTTATTCAAATGAGTTTGCCCTTTCAAGTCTCTGCAGTGAACTCACAAAGGCACTACTGGTGTTTCCAGACAGAAGTTATGGGAAATTTTTTTATATGTTTTGCTGTCACTTTCCCCTCTGGTAACCTGATCTTTTAGTGTACAATTTATATTTAAATGAGATCCTGAATTGAGGATCTTAACTGCTGAATTGCGTTTTTTAAAAGATTATATTGGATAATGGATATTTGGTCAGAATGAGAATGCTACAAGAAATATGGAATTGTTTAAAGAGCTAAAAATATGAAAAATTTACTGTCTTTCCACTTCACCTTCAAAATTTTGGATTTCACTTTTGGAAATCAATCTCCTCAGCCTGTCACTGTCACACCACCAGGACTGTAGGCTGTCTTTAGTTCTCAATCTGCCACACATGGTGTAAAATTAAGGTTGTCTGTCATTCAGGGCCTCAAATAGGTTGATAGCAGAAATCATGTGGAGTCCTCAAGGCTTAGAGAGTAGAGTCAGAGGAATATTACAGTTGGAACTTTGCTTGATTTATATCTAAACTTGTAAAAATTATTAGCCTGTAAAGGACTGGATGTGTGTAAATATAAAATACAGAAGGAGAGAGCCAACAAGCAGATGAGGTACCAGACACAGCAGTTCTCTCTTTTTACAGGGAGGTACTGTGACTTGCTGTGTAGCTGTAAGGACTGTTCAAGCTGCAGTGACTGGAATTCTTGTTCCTGTTTACAAGTTCTCTTTGAGATAGTCTGAAAGATTAATAAAAGTTTGATAGCTTCTATTTCATTATCCATGGGATCCAAAAGGGCTGATCTGTGCTCTGGTCCCATTTAGAGTAGCAAGCTGGGCCAGCAGGGGGAAAGCTAACGTGTTTGTGACAAACAGTGGCTCCCTGCCTGCTGTAAATAACCCTTGCTTTTGGGAAAGGGAAAAAGTAAATGCAATAAAGAATTAAAAAGCAAAGCAGAAGAAGTGCTGTAATAGAGGACAGCTGTTGGTTTGCATCTGGCATCATTGAGCCACTTGGATTCACGTAAGATAAATTTGTGTGTGCCAGAAGTTCCTATTACGAGAGCAACCCTTGAGCTCCCCTGCAGCAGACCTGCACAATGGGGGGAGTGTGGGGGAGAAGGAAGGGAGAGAAATAAATTATGTCCTGTAGCCCTTGTTTGCCTTGCAGCACTCACCAGGATGTTTCACTGGAAAATTCTAACAAAGTGTTGTGAAGTGAATGACCTTGGCAACATCTGCCTTGCTAGAGAAGGCCCTTGAGACTGTATCCAAATCCCTTGGGGCTGGCTCCCTCCAGGGTAGAATGCCTAGTGCTCAGCCCCAGGCTTTTTTCTGGGCCCATGGGAGCCTCTCTGTTGCCATGATATTAATGTAATGGTTTGTGCAGTTTTTGTTTCAACTTGCCTGAAATAAAGCAAAGCCATGCAGGGGCCCACTGCAGTGACATGGTACCATCTGAAATTGAGGGGCTGTGCCATGGGCCTGGGGGAGACAGGAGAGCTTAGGCATGGCAAGGGATTTGACTTGGGAGTTGTGGGAGGATGTGACATAAGCTGACACTCTAGGGCAGATGGGAAGTTCTTCCTTGCCTATAGCCTCTTGGGAAGGCTCCTTGGAATGGTTTTATATTTGGAAATAGACTTGAGATTTGGTTACGATTTGGTTGTGGTTGGATCTCCTTGGGTTGGCTTGTTAGAAGCTGGAAGGGACCTAATACATGTATAGTGGGTAGTCAGCAGCCCAGGAGTGAAATTTAAAAACACAGATGTTTGACAGAAGGGATAGATGTACCCCTTACATTCTCCACCCTTTAGAGGTTGGTGATCTGTACATTCATATAAAATACTCATCTTCTGGTGGTTTGGGAGGGTGTGCCCCTCCCATTTTGGAGGCTTATGATAAGTTTGGTTTGTTGATGTTTGATGTAAATTAGTTTATATCAAAGTATGTGTTTGTATCCTGTAAACAAGGAAAACAATGGCTGGTTTATTAACTGAGAGGAGAGGAAAAGGTGGATTTCCATGTGCGTGGAACAGCCCATCCTTGTTGTGTGAGCTGCTCTTGAAAGTCATCATGAAATAGGAAGCAGCCTGCATGGCTATCAAGGCCACCACTTTTTCCTTCACTCATTATTTACACTGCAAAGGAAATTAAATTGTTGTGGCATGGGAGGGAAATATGCTGTCCCCAAATCTGGCAGGGTCAGAATTACAGCTTTCCTAAACTGTTCTCTCTCCCCCTTTCCCCTCAGTAGTGTGATCACAGGGAAATCATACATGCCTTTGTCTGCTTTGCATACAGGTAGTGCTTCCAACATTTATTTTGGAGAAAAGATCCCTGCTGGAGATGTATGCAAATTTCATGGCCCATCCAGACCTGTTTTTGTCAATTGCAGCTGGAGCCACTCCCGAGGAAAGAATTATCTGCTTTGTGGAGTATTATCTAACAGCTTTTCATGAAGGCCGAAAGGGAGCAGTTGCCAAGAAGCCCTATAACCCTATAATTGGTGAAACGTTTCATTGCTCGTGGGATGTGCCTAAAGATAAAGTGAAAGCATTCAGAACTAACGGTGCCTCCACGGTTTCTAAGGACTCAACCAAGGAGCTCGGCCAGGACCAGTCCACGTGCTACAAGCTGAGGTTTGTAGCTGAACAAGTGTCTCATCATCCACCAGTATCGTGCTTTTACTGTGAGTGCAAAGAGAAGAAAATGTGTGTGAACGCTCACGTATGGACCAAAAGCAAGTTCATGGGCATGTCAATAGGTGTTTCTATGGTAGGTGAAGGTAAGAAATGTGCTTTTATTCTGCTTTTTTTGAGCTAATATTTCTGGGTGCCAGCAGAAATCCAAATGTTTTCCTGTTTGCTCTCCCTCTGACCTTTCATTTGAACCTTATGACTGTTTGCTTTTGAGAAGTTTGGAATTAAAACTGTCAGGTTTGTATAACCTTTTGCTGTCAGGCAGAATATGAAATGCACATTACATATATAAATGTGTGCTTATATTGATGAGACTCTGTTAATATATGGCCAGACTTCGGAAATAATTAAGTTACAATAGCAAATGACGAATTATAGCATAGTCTGTAAGAATATTTTTGTCTTGTTCACTTTTAAAGTAATATGAGGTTTGGTGTTCACAATTGGAACAAAGCAATGAGAAAAAACAACGTTTTTGCATAAACCTAACATTTGTTTTTCATAGTTGCTGCAAAGAATCATGATTTCTGTAGTGTTTACAAAGTTAATGTATTTTCATGCTCTTTCTAGAAAGTCGCATGGTAGAAGTGTGAGTCCTCGTTTTCTATATCATACATATGCAGTCTGCATTCTGATAAGTAATTGCTCAACTTGAGTTCAGAAATACAGGGAGTCACAACAAATCCTTGATGGATGATCTGAACTGATACAGACACTTGTACCAGTGTTGTCACTGACTATTAATGCATTGAGATAAGTGTGTTTCTAAGCAATTTAGTCCCTTTGACCATTTGAGAGTAAGGTGCTATGTATGAATTTTAGTGTTTTGCCTTATTTTTAGATTGTAGTCTCAGAAGTATGAGGACCACTTGCTTCTCTTTGTCACCATTATGTGAAATACTATGGTATTAGAAGCAGTAAAAAACTGGAGTGGGAAATGCAGTGGTTTGGTTTTGCTTATTAATAGCAACAAAATAATTATGGTGGAAAAATGCAGGTATATTCTGCTATTTCCACTATCTAAAACTAAAGACCAGTGTAAAGGACACAGTAGCTCCTTCCCTGATGGCAATAGATTCCCTTTTTTAATAGAGGAGACATGATACTGGTTTTGATATCCTTGAGATAAGTCTGTGTTAGCATGTGTGTTTCCTTCTTCCTGTGACTTAGGTATTTTGCTTTGAATGCGGAGTTAAGGAAGTTGGGAAGGGAGTGTCAAAGGGAAGCTGGTTTGTCTGTCTCCTGCCTGTACTACTGCCAGCCTGAGTCAGTGGCTTAACATTCTGCATTTTTCTGGTACATGCTCATTTCTAGTACTCTTTTGCTCACTGAAGGGAACTATTTAATGGAAATAAAATTAAACACAAAGTCACTTACGATTATGTAGGAGTAGGGAAATTTCTTTCTCTTGCTGCTAGCGCACAAGGTTCCCTGGGATTGGGGGTGTCTACTGTGGGGATTATTTAAGACTTCAAAGCCCTGATGTGTCCCAGTTTTGAGAGAGAAATGGTCTAAGAATTTGCTGCTTACTCACCCCAAGGATTGTTTAATGTGTGCTTGTGAGAATGAGTTCTTCCCTGTATGCTTTCTTTTTTTCATGATCCTGGAGATATCCCAGGAGTGGAGGCGGGCTTTGGGGAACATCTGCTGTAGCAAACTCTTTTATTCCAAGGTTTGCTTCTGTCTTTGTGACGTGCATTCTGGGATGAGGTCTGGGTTCACCAGTTTATAGTTACTATTCATCTTTTTGTTCATGTAAGCAGTGCAAAAGTAGGGACCTTCGCAGTGGCAGCATTTCTGGGAAGTGATGGAGACACTTTAGTGCAGCCCAAGCATTTCTATTGCATGTTGGGGAGTGGCAATGGGCAGCAAGAAGTTGTATTTGAGGCTTTTCTATCATCTGAAAACAGCAAGCCTAAGCCTGACAGCCTCAGTTTAAAATGCCAGCTTTGCAGTGCAGTTCCTTCGCTTGAAACTGCACTTTCTTTAATTTTTTTTTGTTTATTTATTTTAGGTCTAGAGAAGTCTTCCTGATTGAGTTGGTGTGTGGATTTGTCAAGCTGTGCAAAAATTAGAGTCTGTTGCAGATGCTTCTTTCTTATGTGCTGCATACGTATAAATTCTGTAGTAGATTGAGGTCAGCATGAGTACCAGGGAATACATTGCTGAACTGACAAAAAGGAGCTGCTGGACTAAAAGTGGGGAAAACCTAAGCCTGTATTTACTGCCTAGTAATGCAGGGCTTGGTCATTTTTTTAATGTGAAATATAATTTGGAGAGTTTCATCATTTTGAAATGAATGACTAATTCAGCATTTCATATGGGCTGAATTAGTCTAGCAAAGGAAGTGAGTTGGGCTGTGGAAAGGTGCTGTTAGTCAGCAGGCATATGAAGCTGCTTACGGTAGGTAGAAACTGAAGATAGCTCCTTGGAGAAACTTTGGCATACCAAGGTTGGCCAGTAAGGCTGTAGAATCTTAAACTGTTAAAAGCAGATGAAATGAGTTTCTGGGGAATGAAGTATCACTGATCCTGCTTTTGATGAGAGACTAACCATCTCATGGATCATCAGCATCTCTGGGTTTTGATTGTTGTGGGTTTATTTTGCTACTGTACATTGGATGACCAAACTAATCATGTGCTGTTGTTGGGATTTTGTCTCGCCCCTTTCTCCTTTTTTTTTTCCTAATTTCCCCTCATTATGAGCATTCAGGCCTTTTTTTTTGCCTGTTGCTGGAGTTAAATTATGTACATGTGGGAACCTTTTGACTTTTTGTAAGACCAGTAAAGATTTAAGATGTGGCATCATGTTACTTGAAAGACAGTTTCCTTGATACCTCTAATATACCTGTGTCCATTTTGAGAGTTGGGTTAGATAATCCTGCTGTTGGTTTGATACTAGTTTAATTATCATACAGATTAAATCAGTACTAATCGATATATGAGAGGGGAAAAAGGTCCTTCCAAACAAGAGTGTTAGAGAACTGTAATTAATGTTTTGGATGATTTAGTGGTAGTGAGTGACCATCTTGTTCTGTTCAGATATGTATCAGGACAGTTCTGTTTGACCAGGTTGCCCAGAGAAGCTGTGGATGCCCCATCCTTGGAGGTTTCCAAGGCCAGGTTGGATGGGGGTGTGAACAACCTAGTTTAGTGGGAGATATCCCTGCCCACAGCAGAGGGTTTGGAACAAGATGATTTTTAAGGTCCTTTCCAACACAGGCCATTCTATGATGATTCTGTGACAATGACCAGAAACTTCATTGTAGCCTAATATTGAATATGGGCAACTTTGGTGTGTTTTGAAACTTTGCTCTCTACTGAACAATACTGTGTGTGTCCCTCCAACAGTTCAGTGAAGCTTTTTCTGCTGCAGTTGGCTGCAGAAATAAAGTAGTACCGAATTTTTGGACCTATAGTGTGTAAGGAATATAGTAATGGTAATGTGTCTATGGAGGCTTTGAATCATATTTTTATAGGAAGTCCTTAGATGTATAGAGCACATTGCTTTTTATGTGTTTTATTAGAAGCTGACCTAGAATGTCATGGGAGTATAAAGGTTTATAAAGGAATTCAAAGAATTAGGGGATTTAAGGATGGTATGGTCTTGGCACACAAAGGGTACAGCTCAGTGTCTCAGTGGTGTGATTTTTTTTGTGTATGTCATACCTTAAAGTGACTAAGATTTTTAAATTTTTTTTCTGTCTGTTGTTTTTGTTTGTTGATTCAAAGTATCAGTTGCAGAGATGCAGAACAAGTGCGAGAGTACTGCTGGAAATCCATGTGGGGAGCTGTTTTATATACTAGCCTTTCTTCATCTCGGGTTATGAGTGGTCTAAATCTGGCTTGCTAATGAAATGTTGCAACTTTTCTTTACTGTATGACAAAATCCTCATTTTTCAGAGTAGTCAGCACTGAGTTTCCTCAGGTGAAAGCCACCCTGAATAAAAAAGAGGGTATTTTGCATGAAAGAACTTAGACTGCATGGGCAGTCCCTAATTCTGGTTAATGTTAATTATGTACTAATGAAAGAGTGAGGGAGGAGATGAGGCTGTAATGAACAGGGTCACATTAAGATTTAAATTAGCAAAGGATGAGAAAGTCAGTATAAATATTTAATGGTTTTTACGTGGGTCATGGGATCTTTAAACGATAGTGGTTGTAGGGTAAGGATGCTGTGGTGAGCACAACTCAGTGTCAGCTGTGCCTGTTCCTTTTCTGGTCCAGAGCAGCACAGTCCAACAAAAAGTGTTATCTTTGATTTATAGGTTAATTTTGCGGAGAGCATAAAGTGCATTTAAATGGATTGCTCTGTATTGTCAAGTGGCTAGTTACACCTGGTATTTTCACTTCTGCTGTTTTAAATGTTCTAAAAAAGTAGTGAGTTACAGGCTTCCAGAAATTATTTTTCTAAACTGAAAATCAGCTTGAAAAGATCTGATAGGTGGTTAAAAGGTTCAGTGCTCTTTCCAGGGTAAATTTAAAAGAAAGCAATGAATGTTTTTAACTCTTCTTTTTCTCTTCTGTTTAAATACATGTATGTGTATGTATTAATAGATAATTAATTTCTAGATTATAATTTTTAGTACTGAGAAATTAGTGACTTTTTAATTTACCAGTCCCAAAGTTTGATAGCTCCATGCAATTAGAACTACCTAAATATTTCCCTAAGAACTCCCTTTTTTGTTAATATTTTTTATTCCAGTGTTTCAATACCTGTTTTCATATAGCATGGCACTCATTACCTAATTTAGCAAATGGTTCCAGTCTTTGAAAAATGAGCAGTGCTCACCACAGCTGCTTGGAAGAGACAGTAAGAGCGCAGTTCTGGCATCTCCTGTTTCTCTGTGGGGATCTGGGCAGTTGGTCATGCACAACACCCGTGTGAGGCTCATCCCACGTGTGACTTGTTCCTCTTTGTGTGTTATGAGAAACACAGACAGGGTGAAGAGCTTCTTAACCAAGGAAACTGCCCCAGGCCCCTCGTGTCTCACGTGCCATTTGTTGTTCAGATTGATCCATGCAGGCAGTGGGAAGCATTAAATCCCACACGTCTCTTCTGCAGTTTATGGATCCAGAGCCTCCTCTGGGGTTTTTTGTCAATATGTGTTACTGGGAAATCAATTCACAGAGCTGCAGCATCAGTGAGGGACATGCAAGAGTCAAACTGGGAAAATGATATGCCAGGACCTGTAATGCAGACTGAGGAGTCATGGATGGGGGTGTGACTCTGAATACATTGCTGTAGTCAAAAGGAGGAGTAAATGGTGTTGAGGGTATTTCAAGGGGGAATTTCAATATTCTGCAATGTTTTATAACAAATTCACCCTTCTCCGTAGCATTTTTTTTCCTAACAAACTAGGTTACTAAATCCACTGTTCCTCCCAGAGTACTGATCTGGTGCAGTTATCCGTGTGTAATTGTTGCCTATAAATACTTCAGATTTTTTTTTAAAGGAATCGGAAGTTTTTGAACAAACTCTTTGGTGTGAGAGGAAAAAAGTAAAAATGGGAGAATATTCTACCACTTTTCATGTGTATTTACTTACAGCCATTTTCAAACTAAACATGAATCATCCCTTACTGCAGGGAAGCAAGGGAAGAAAAATAGCCTGTGTATTTTCCAGCAGTTGTTTTTAAAGATCAGTTGCAATGTAATGATTATCAGCAGATGTTAAAATTACACTTTGTGAAGTAACTGTTAGCTTTAAGTTAATTGGCTTGTGATTTCTCGAGATTGACACTTGGCTGGGTAGGGAGTTAATTCAAATTGTGGTACCTATTACAAATGTTGAATCTCAGGGTAATTTTTGTCTTCCTCTCCCCTAAGGGAGCCCAGGTCTCTGTTCAGATGTGGTGGTGCAGCCACAGTGTTTGGGGTGCTTCACTCAAACGAGGCTTTGCATGTGGGCTCTGCAAACAGTGGAATGCAAAACAGGTTAATACTAAAAGTATTATCAAGGCATGGTTATTTCAGATCTGCCCTTTAATCTCTTTTAGACTGTAATTATGGAGCTGGAGTCATATTTCAAGTGAGATAGCACTTCATTTAAAAATGTATTTATTCAGGTGTTTAAGGAATTCAGAAAATATGCTACCGGGTGCTAAAAATACTGCCAAGAGAGCTGGGTTCAGATTTTAATATCTAACCTGCTGTGGTGGTTAAATATTTACATTGAAGGTCACTGCTGCTGTTTGCTCTCCACTTTAAATGTGCTTGGCAGCACTGCAGCTCCGAGTCCCTCCCGCCTGAGTAGGGAGAAAAAAGCTCTTGATCCCATCAGGGGGACAGAAACAAACCTATACCCACCCATAAGGAAATTTGGTTTATCATACCAGTTTCCTCTCACATGAGAAAACATCACATACAGTGATAGTCAGAGGAGGGTGGGAGACTTTTTGCAAGGGCTTGTGGTAACAGAAAAAGCAGGGGGAGTGGCTTTAAAATGAAAGAGGGTAGGTTTAGGTTAGATATTAGGAAAAAATTCTTTACTGTGGGGGTGTTGAGGTGCTGAAACAGGCTGCCCAAAGAAATTGTGGATGCCCCATCCCTGGAAGTGTTCAAGGCCAGGTTGGATGGGGCTCTGAGCAGCCTGGTCGGGTGGAAGGTGTCCCTGTCCGTGGCAGGGGGGTTGGAACTCGATGATCTTTAAGGTCCTTTCCAATACAGGCCCTTCTGTGATTTTGCAATTGTTATTTATTAACTTAATGCTATTATAGCATCCATTTGATGAGTTTGATAACCAGAATAGTTTTTTTTTTAGTAAAAGTTCTTCCTGGCTGCGTGTCCAGGATGAGCTGGGTAGTTCAGCTTTCCTGCAGTGTGTTCAGCTTGGATGTCTCTGCAGGTGTGAAGCTGAGGAAGCTTGAGGGAAAACGTGTGTGTGTGTTCTGGCTGTGTCCTCCTGGCCTTTCCCTGCTGGTTAAGGGTTCAGCTCATGACATGAGGAAGTTGTAACCTGACAAGACTAAATGTTTAAAGGTCCTTTTAAGACATGGCTTTTCCATGTGCTTTTGCACTCCCAGCTCCTTGTGTCAGACCTGCTGGAGTGGACATGCTGGCTGTGTTGCTGCTGGGAGGCTGAGGTTGCAGATGTTCTGAGAACAACTGCATGTAGCTGTTCTGGTTTGCAAATGTTTTCCTGTGAAATAGTTTCAGAAGGCAGAAGTGAAAAATTGCAGAGTTTCCTGTGCCTGTATTTAGTTTTGTTAGCTGGAGCCAATATTCAAGATCAGGGCTCTCTTAGAGCTCTGTGCTTTTAATTTTGAGTGTGTTTTTGTGTTTTCATGCAGCGTTAAAGACATATTTTCATATTGGCAGCAGTAGTGTTGGGTTCCTCTTTAATGCTTTTTCATCATTAAATGTGAGATCACTTTGAAAAAGTAGTGTCAGTATTCCCTTAAACAGATAGATTAATCAATACCACTAACAGTGTGTTCTTCCCCTGCCTGCCCCAGGGTGAAGGCAAATGGGCTCAAGCTCATCTTGTTTCTGAACAGATCCTATTACTGTGTCAAAATAACTTTCCTGCTCTTTTTTTTCAAATATTTCTGGGATCTGAGTTCTTCCTGTGATGGGTTATTTTCAGGCCCTGTTGTGAAAAAATATTTTCAAAGCTGTGATTTTTGCCTTTAGGCAGTTAGTAAATGGGACACAAAAGACTGTAAAACTCTAATAAAAAATACACTGCAGACATTTGACATGATCTAATTCTGCGTGCAGGGTTTATGGTGCTCTTTTCCTGGTCTTATGTCCTGCTATCCTGAAGACCAAACTACAGTTTTTATGGGGCTAGAGTTGTATCCTTAGCCCCAGGGGAAGCTGCAAAGGTCTGATCAGGAAAGCAAGTTTCTTTGTGCAGCTTCCAAGTAATATTGAAAAACTGCTGCTGTTGTGTGTTGTTTTTAGTTACCGCCTGATAGTGCTGAGGGTGGAGGAACCTTTACAGAATGAGATGGAATTACCAGTAATTTTCTCTGCCTGGTAGAGACACTGGACTTGGTGCTTGTAGAGCAGGGCCCTGCTGGACCCCTCTTTGATTATGTAAGATTTTTTCAAAGCCCATGTGGGAAACCAGGCATTTGGAAATTAAGGAGCAAAGTTAATGGGAAGTTTGTAGATGCCATGTTTCCTTGTTGTACCCACAGAGACTTAGAGCCTTTCACAGCATCAAGAGGAAATTAGTGGAGGACGTGGCTGTTTCTAACTGAATGGAGAAGTGAAGAGTCCTTTGGCCATGCCCGTATTTTTTTCTGGAGGGAGATTATGATACGACACTGAGAGACCATCTGAATTTTCAGTATGGCTTTTTAGGTAGACATTCTATGCTTTTCCAGCTTTTAACAGTAATGCAAAGTCAGATTTTCTGAAAAGTCATTTGGTACCATGCAGGACCACAGGGTACACAGTCAAATTGGATGCTTTTGAAAATGCTTGTTGGAAGAAACTTGTTCCAGAGACCAGTGTTTCTTAGCAGACAGTGACCTCCTTCAAGGGGAGCTGCACCTTGTGCTCTCCATGGATGTGCATTTTGATGGTGGTAATTGGTCAGTGACCATCAGGTCTTGTCAGTGAACAAGTGACCTTTTATCACCTTGCTTTCTCCTCTTCCCGAGCAGGTGTTCTTCACTTGCTGGAACACGAAGAAGAGTATGTCTTCACCCTGCCCAGTGCCTACGCTCGCTCAATCCTCACCATCCCGTGGGTGGAGCTTGGAGGGAAAGTCAACATCAATTGTGCCAGAACGGGCTATTCTGCCACCGTCACGTTCCACACCAAGCCCTTCTATGGAGGGAAGGTCCACAGGTATGGGAATTACTGTCTGACTCTTGTTTACCTGCTGCAGGATTTCAGGGGAAAGGCTCTTAGGCGTCTGTTCAGTTCTTCTGTTGCAACATTTTATAGACATATAGCTGAAATTCTTTTCCTAGTAGTGCTGGAGATGACTTAAAGCTTTAGGGCAGTTTATTGTAGCAATACATATTATGTTGTCTAACTGATTTGGATGTATTTCTCTCATTAAAATATAGTGAATGTATCTCTCCAGGCTTTGTTGCTTGTAAAAGTTGTTGTAACTGCAGGCTCAGAAAAATATGTGTAGAAAAGGCGATATTTCTGTTACCCTCTGCTGTTTTTGTGTGAGTCTTGTAGATGAACTGGTGTTCCAGGTGGAGCTCCTGAAAAGAGGAGAGAAGCAAAAGTGTTGCTGCCCATAGTGGTAGCTCCCTACTGGGGACCTCTGCACTGAGATTACAGATGGTGGAAATGTTATTCACCTTCTTTGGTTCCCCTTTTACTAAGGGTGTGAAGAGGTGCTGTGCAAGACAGCCTCCTCTCTTGCTTCCACGCTCAAGTTGATGTTCCAGTCATTAACAGACCCAGACATTAGCAGACCCCTTTCTTGTTCTGCTGTGGACTGTTGCATTGTCCAGAGGAGACTGTGCTTTGCATGGTTACCTCTGTTTCATTTCAGATGCTGTAACTATTCTTCCATATGTGTGTCAATCATTTCAATGTTGTGTTCAGGTAAATGTCCATATGGGGCTGTTTTGACAGGGTTTTTCTTTAAAAGTTACAGATTAATAATTGGTGCCATCAGGGTGAGTGAAAATTTGGGGATGTTGTGCTGTATTATTTCAGTAATTAAAATTGAGTTTACAGAAGACTTTCCATGGCTTTCTAAAGCACATGTGTGCATGCTCATGGACACACACAAAGAACTTCTCCCTGCATTTTGGTTTTCCTCTCCTGTCTATTTTTCTCACTCTCAGACCAGTTCTTTGGTGAGATGGCTTTAATCATTGCCTGTGAGCAGCTGAGAAATGAACTTGCAGAACTGAAGAAGAAAACAGAGAGACCCAAAATTTTTGACATGGGTCTCTGACAACATTATGTTCAGATGTGAAAGCATCGTGTATTGAAAATGTCACATGAATGTCAGGGATTGTTTTTCAGGCTGCTGAGGTAACCATTTGGCTCTGGCCTTGAGCCAAGTATCAGAATTTTAAGTTGGGTTGCTGCTGAACTTAGCTAGAATGTCATCCCAAAGCTGTTGCTGTGTTACAGGAGCTTTCCTGGGATGAGTCTTTCTTTTTTGGAGGCAGCATCACTACTTGGATTGAATAATTGATTTGTGGAGGTAGAAAGCTGCTTGGACCTTCAGCAACGCAGTGCTTTCATGTGCTGATAATAAATGGTACCAGTTATTTCTGTGGTCTGTTTTTCCTCCCCCCTTGAATCAGGGTTACAGCCGAAGTGAAGCACAATCCAACGAACACCATTGTGTGCAAGGCACAGGGAGAATGGAATGGCATCCTGGAATTCACTTACAGCAATGGAGACACCAAAGTGATCGACACCACCAAACTGCCTGTTATCAGGAAAAAGATCCGGCCCATAGCAAACCAAGGGCCGCTGGAATCGAGGTAAGGGCAGAGGCTTTGCAATGCTGTCCTGAACTTTGGATGGGAACAGAGCAGGGAAGCCAACTGCCGGTCTGAGTGCTGTGGTTCAAAAATTCCTTGCTTCCTACAGCACAGAAATCCGGGCACAGAGAGTTGAGGCTGTGTATTTGTTCCTTGGAGCATAAATTACGCTGTAGTGACAAGTGAATCAATTTTGTAGATGGGGAAAATGCCTGTATTTGTTTTAATCAGCATCTGGAAAATGGTAATGCAGTGTTTTCACCTGCTTCTTGGAGTGATTGCAACATGGTAGGCAAATCAGTCAGTTTGTTGCAAGTAGTTCCAACTGGTATATATATGTTGCGTATCATTGAAACTGGTACTTAATGTTTTATGTATTTTAGAATATGTATTTGTATAAATACGTGTAAAATGTGAGGCAGTATGAGGTATAAAGACACAGATACTGGTGGTTTTGAGGCTCTTGGCATCTACATCATGTGCCTAACTCTGACTAGGTACATTAGAAAAAAACCTGTTCTGTATCCACTTCAGTAACTGTTGATGTTTATCTTCACAAAAATCAATACTTTATTGAATATAGGAGCATTTTATTGGAGGATTTAAAAATATGAGTTAAACTACATTTTATTATCTGTAAATGTCTTTTTATTTTACAAGGGTGTCTTGAGTCATTGTGCAGGGTCAGATACAATTTGTCTGCTTACTAGACCACTTGCTTATCCACAAACTCATTTTTGCCCTGTAGTGTGGAACATAAAGATTATAGTAAATAAGGAAACCAGTAGCTTTTCAGTGTATTTATTGTGTTTTTTAGATACTAGTAAGCAAATTACATCCATCCAGTGTCTCTGCAGGATCTGCAGTTTATCACATTGTAAACACAAACTCATTTAAACAGCCCTGGACATATGCGAAAGCTATGGTTGGTTTCAGACAGAGATCAGTTTGGATTAGATATTAGGAAGAAATTCTTTACTGTGAGGCTGATGAGGTGCTGGAACAGGCTGCCCATTGAAGCTGTGGATGATGCCTCGTCCCTGGCAATGTTAAAGGCCAGGTTGGATGGGGCTCTGAGCAGCCTGGTCCTGTGGGAGGTGTCCCTGTCCATGGCAGGGATGGTGGAACTAGAGGATCTTTAAGGTCTTTTCCAACACAAACCATTCTATGAGGGTTTTTCTCAGTGGTTTTCTGGGCAAAGTTTGTGCTAGGCTGATATAAGGCACTGTATCTGAATGTGGTCAGCTGTGTGAGAAACGTGTAGCTGTGCTGGTAAATACTGTAACTGGGAATACAGAGCACAGACCTAGAGGGGCTCCCTAGGATAATCAGTTCCTCTGTTGGTGACCATGTAGGACCAGTCAGTGTCCCAGTTCAGTGCACTCCTGGGTTTTGGCTCCCTTATAATTCAAAAATTTAACTGCAGAAAAATGCAGAATTAAACACCTGTCATTTGGGGGCCAGAGGAACATCAGTAAGGAATGTGAAGTGGAAATGGTAAAAATAAATCCACCTGCTTTGAGAAAAAAAGCACAGGTGGTGAAGAGTCAGGAACATAAACAGAATCTGCTGAGAAAACTGCATGGCAAAATACTGGGAGTTGAGTGAACCTGAAAATCTGGTCCACAGACATGATGACTATCCTAGGAGAGAGATGGTTCCCAAGCTGTGGGACTTGGAAATCCGGTATGGATAGTGTGGCTTCAGCCTGCTGCTCACCAGACTGGTGTCCAGCAGCACTGGGCTGTGGCAGAGCTGTTCTCACCCTCCCTTGTGCTCCTTCTCCCTGGGCAGGCGCCTGTGGCAGCACGTCACCAACTCTCTGAAGGAGGGGAACATTGATGCCGCCACGGAGCACAAGCACCGCCTGGAAGAGAGACAGCGAGCAGAGGAGAGGCAGCGCGCGGCACTCACAACTCCCTGGAAACCCAAATACTTTGCCAAAGAGGTACTTGAGTCTCTTGGTTTAGAGACCCTTTAGCAAGTTCCTGCACAGGGGACAAGTGAATGTCTGGATTTTGTCATGGGCTGCTGCTGTTATGTACCACTGATTGCTTAAATTTTCTTTTTGACAGTCTGGCTCTTGAAGGAGAGCAGTGGACTTTTCCATGTCTATGTTGTGAACTTGTTCACTTTTCTTCACTTAGAATTCAGTATCTGAATTTTTGGTGCCTAATGTTAGGCACATGAAGTGATGTGTTTTTCTGTAAAATTCAGCCCTTACTTTTCAAATTCTGCATACTCATATCCCCTATAATCTTAGAATACTGAAATGAGCACGATCTAGGGAGATTTATCCAGCTTAAGTAAGCATTGACATCCTAAACACAGTCTTGGGTTTCATCTGTGTGAAAGGAAATAGATTTTACCAGGTTCATCTTTCCCTTGGAGGAAAGGTGGAGGGATGAGACTGACTGAGGGGATTGTTACATTAGCTGCTATTTAAACCAGAATCTCTTGTATCTTCTCATTACATCTCTTCCCTCCCTTGTAATTTTTTCCCTCCTGCCCGCATTACTTGTCAATTCATTAAACACAGAATTTTCAGGTGACAGGGATGGCTTCTTGTTTAGTCTTACTTTAGCTTTTGTGTGGACATACACATATCTGGTATTTATAAATCTTGTTTGTAAACTCTGCTTAATTTTCTTACAGGGTGATGGTTGGCTGTATGTGAATCCTCTGTGGAAGACCCATTGACAGGAGAGAGCAGTTGCCTCGTAACTTTACCTGAAAGGCATTAAAATGATACAGTATATAACTTCAGGATAGGTCCTGCTCCCAGAAGATCCCCATGGGAAGCTATGTACTGTGAATGATGCATCTCAAAATAACCACGAGCTCAAGTTTATTCAGGAGCCATTTTGTGTGTGCAGATCCACAGACACACAGGCACACGTCCGTCCCTAAGTACCCACGGTGTGCATGTGTTGTGTGTGCTATTTACACTACATGTAAACAGTACCAACACCAATAGCGACTCAAAGACCTTTTCCTCCAAGTGTTAGGGCACAGAACCCTGGCTGCACTCAGCCAGGGCTCCCTGAGTTGTGTGCTTGCAGGATCAGGCCCTATGCTAGTATTTAAGAAAATACTTTTTTATTAGTACTGGTTAATGTTTTTCTATTTTTCACTTTTGCCAAAAATGTTTTGCACTTAAAACATGATATGTCTCTTAATGGCAGTCGTTCTGTCTGAACAGTCACCAAGTAACTCACTTTGACATAAGAATGATCCACTGGCTGTGCTCGCTCTGGGGTACTGAGTTCAGGGCGTGTTTCCTGTCACCAAGGAGTGTGAATTTCCTGCCACCCTAAAAGAAGTAGCAATACCTTCCCCAGAACGTTGTTCTTCACACTAACCCATTGTGTCCTCGCTGCTTTGCCTATTCATGCTCCAGCTGTTCAGTCAATCTCTGGTCACCACCCCTGAGCCAGCTGCTCTGGTAACTTTGGTCTTGCTGTGTAATGTTCTCTGATTGTTGTCATGCCAACGCTTCTGGCTTACATGTTCCACTAAATGGGATTGCTTCTGGTAAAACATTTGGATGAGTAGAGATGATACAACTACCCTTCACAGATAAATGATTCCCTGATGTAAAAGTAACAATTTAGTAAATTATTCCACAGAGAGAATAACTTTATGAATGAAAAAATGGAATGGGATACAATTTGTTTTGTAAGGTTAAAAAAAAACAATTAAAAAATCCTGTTGCTTGATCTTGCTTTGTGAGGTGACATATTGCCTGTGACACTGACAATATGGATTCTAGAAGTGTGTTAAGGTTTTGTTGCTTTATAGTTTGTATTTGTTGGAAGTGAAGATGTTTCTGAGAGAGGTGGCAGCAAAAGGTACATGTAAAATGTGCTCAGTGCTTCTTTCCACAGTGCCCCATAACAAAACCACTGTATTTCTATCACACAGTAGCATGGATGTCTGTCTGTAGAGCTGAGTAATTTTGTGCCTTTTGTCTGCTTTGTTCATACACTGACTTGTGCTTGATAGATGCTACACAAAGATACCTAGGTCAAAGCACTGCTACTGCTCACATCTGTCCTTGTGCATCCTGCATTTGTTTTTTTGGTAGATGTTAAAATCTCCTGAGCAGCTCAGAAGGCTCAGTGGAGGAGGTGTGTGCACAAGGAAACATTCCATTAGCTGTTCCTTTGGATTTGAACTAAAGATCTCTATTTAATGAAGGTGTGGCTACTTTTTCCTTCTGAATGCTATTTCGTCTTCTTGTCTGTCCCTTTTTTTTTTCACATTAGAAAGATTCATGTTCTAAATGATTTAAATCCTATTTTTTAAAAAAAAGTGGATTGTATGAGCTTGGTTTTGTAACTGACACTTTTTTTTTTAAGAGGAAAAAAAAATCTTATTTTTTAGGAATAGTTGATGTAATAGTTTTCTGTAAGAAAACCAAAATGATGCTCTTGTAGTAATCACTGAACTGCTACTGAGTATCATCAGGAACACTTGTACTTTATCACCTGCAAGAATTCACTTTATAATGGATCCACTCTTGTTCTAGAGATTAGTCTGATAAGTACCTAAAAGTATTCCTACAGTTTGTAGTATCATCACAAAGAGCAATGGAAAAAGCAGAGTTAAACCCCTGGAACACCCTCCCAGAGCTCTCTCACACACCAAAGAACAAGACACATACTCACTAGATAGCCATTGCAAACCTCTGTGTGTCAGGCATGCAGGCCTGGGTCCCTGAAGGAGTAGACCTCTTTCAGCTGGGATGGTGTGACTGTCAAGGCTACAGAGATGCTGTAGCTGTTCTTTTAAGGAGAAATTTGAACAATTTTCTGCTTGTAATTTATTGAAGATTTTCTCTGTCTGCATGGTTGGTTGTTTCTGCATGCCAAGGACATTCCACATGTGCTCTGATCAATGTTTTGTTCGGATGCTATGAAGAATCCCCTAATGCCATTACCACTGTTTCTTTCCCAAATTAACATGGGAGACACAAACGTTAAGAAGTCCTTTCAGAAAAGATCCCATCAGCGAGAGATTTCAGAACAAGATTCACAAGTGTCATTTTATTTTTCTGATAGTATGTGTTCAGTATATTTTGCAGGACTGAAAAGTAAATATTCATAAGCCTTATTCTGTAGGTTGTTCCAATTGCTGTCTTGGAATTGCAAGTAAATACTTTCCTTTTCAAGTAGCCGATGTACACTGAATTGTAATGTAAAAACTTCCATGTACTTTTTTGTGCACACCTGTAGAAAGCCTATGCAACCTTTTTCTTTCTTAAATTAGAAATGTTCAGAAAGGAAATTTATACCTTTAGCATTTAAAAGATGCTCTGGCAGTCTCTTTTGATTTGCCTTCCTTTCATAATTTGTGAATTTAAAATGAGAATGCTCATGAATAAAAGATTTGTTTCATTTAGTAGCGGGATGCCATTTCTCTTTCCATGGAAGCCTTAGTTCAGTGGTGTCAGTCACTGACTGTCCAGGAGCTGTGTATGACACCTGAGTGTGGTTCCCATGGAAGTGATTTGCCAGGTTAATCCAGGTTTGGTGTGGGGTTTTTCCACCCTGCTTATTCTCCCAGGCACTCTGGAGGTAAGTTTTTTGTTTAAATTGGATAGCTCTACCCAGGGAAAATGGGGCTGGGCAGCAATAACAGCTTTAGGAAAGGCTGGGAAACATTTGCTTCATTTTGGCAAGTAAAAAGGAAACAGGTAAAGGTGCTTGCTTCTGAAAATCCTATTTCATTTAATGTTTAACATCAACAGAAATTACTGATTAGAACCTCTTAGAACTCAAAACTCCGCATTATTGCAGCATTGGACACTTGCATGAGGAGTAAAAATGCTCTTAGAGGAATCCCACAGATGGTGGTGAGCATTTTTCAAGTGTTAGGTAATACCCTTCTGGTTTTCTTTAAACATTCCTCCACTGTGCTGGAAACAGTCTTGCTGGAACACTTTGTTTTTATGCAAAACAGAAAAAGACACTGCCTGTAAACAGGGCAGGAGGCACTACCCAGTCCTGTTCCTTGCCTTCCATGGCATCGCTTCAAGGCCTCGTCTTTGAGCAGTTTATCCACTTGGGTTAAAGATGTGAGGGCGTTTTAGTCACAGCCAGATAAGATTTTTTTTCAGTTTCTAGTCCTGATGAGACTGGTGTGTAGCAAGGGCTCTGTCAAAGCATTCAGCTGTTTTTTTTAAGAGTGAATCTATCAAGATAATTAATGACTTTTCTCCTTGTTATGAAATTACTTGTGCAAGTCAAAATATGTCTTCTGTGATTACCAACAGCAGTGTCTGCCTTACTGCTCGCACCAGTAACGATTGAGATACAGAACCCATGCAGTACTGGGTTCTAGTCACTTGCAGCTTTAGTTCCTTAGTAACTGCTGTCCTGAGCCTGGCTCATGTGTCTTGTTTTGTTTGGTTTTATTGGGGGTTTTTTTGGTTTGCGTTTTTATTTTTTTTTATACAGTTTTGTGGCAATTATGCTTCAAAATTTGACATAGTTGAACAAAAGGAAAAAGGATGGCTGGAGCCAAGGAAATAAACTAGTCTGGGAGGTGTGTGTGATGAAGAGGGAAGATGCTGATAAGTCTTTGCTGGTAGAATGGTGGTTCAGTTCTCCCAAAGAGGAGGCAGGAATTATTTAGCTGTTTGATTCCAGGATCCAGCTATAAACCTACACGGTGTGCAGATTCCTGAGGAACCAAGGAAGGTGAGACAATGCCAGTTCTTCTTAATGTAATGTTGCTTTTTCTAAGTGGATGCCTCAATGACTCTGAGCTTTTTATTTCATTTTAACTGCAGAACATTGGCAGAGTCCTTGAAGTCATGTTAGATTTAAGAAAAAAACAAAGCTCAGGTAAGTAGTAGGTAACTTTAGGTCCAGGCTGGCTGGGATCCCTGCAGTTGGCTTATTTTTGCTTCACATGCCTCAGATTCACTTGTTTCTGGTGTTAAAGTGAACACCATCACTTAAGGCTGAAGACAGTCTGTCCAACTGTAAAAGTACCTGAAGAGGGGAAGGCAACCTTATATTTTCTCTTTTGAAAAAACAAGGCTGAGTTACTGCCAAGCCACAGACTGACTGGCAGCCTCTGTCCTGCTGCCTTTTCAGGTGTTCTTCCAAATGTCAGACCCCTTATTTCTTATCCATAGGCAGGATGCAGATTGGCTTGGAAGCAACATGACACGAGAAATCCTGCATCACATAATCAATTAGCCCTTCTGCTGCTGGGTGAGAAGCTGTAGCAGCTTGAGGAGCTCCAGATGCTGGAAGGAGTTGCTGCAATGTGTGGTTGCTGCAATGTGAACGGTGGAAGGCAGCTCTTCCCTGGAAATACGACAGCCACCTTCATTTCATCACAGCAGAAGCCCTAGATTTGGCTTAGTTTAAGCTGGAGGGATTTTAAGAAGATACTGTGCCTTCACTACAACAGCTTGGTGAAATCAGAAGATTTGCAATATAGAATTGCAATGTCAATTAATGACTAGGGCTGCAAGCAACATGTTTTCAAGTTTATCACAACAAAACTGACACAAAAGCCTTAACACAAAACTTGAATTAACTTTATTTTCCCCTACAGTTGACAACTGGTCTGCATTGAGCTTTAAAGCAACAAAATAAAATGAAATCTCCAAACGACAGGGGCCAGAAATCCAGATTTAATTACCTTTGTGAAAATGTTGCAGCTGTAGTATTGGTCTGTATAAACCACTGGAGTCAAAAATGAGTTCATAAATCAAAAAAATATTCTACACCTTGGGAAAGAAGTCAGCAGTAACATTCTCACAGAACACTGTAAATTTACATTTTCTTCATGAAAGGTACATACTATTCTGCATTTTACATCAAGTTATTGATGCAAGTTTTGTTTCTATAAAAAGTTACAACCTGTGGCAGGAAAACAAACTGCAAAAAAACCCCTTTCATTTTAATTAAAGAAAAACTTCAAGTCTGTATAAAGTTTCCTTACAGCTGGAAAGTGAACACGTTCAGTCTCCATTTATATTTTAGTGCATTTAATCTGATAGTTTTCACCACTTAAAAAAAAACCAAACTGAAACCAGTATAAAAGACAGACAAAGCAAATAGCACTAGAGCAGGAATTTCTTCAATTGATTTAAGCACTCTAAATAAAAATGCAGAGAAACAGATTTCCAGGAACACTTCCACCCTCGCCAGAAAGGCAGTGAGGGCTGAAAAGGTTTGCAAATCTTCTACCTCTGATAGCCATAGAAAAGGGGTTTTGTATACCTGTCAACCTTCTTTTCCCCAATAACCAGGCTATACTTGCTTTACCAATGTAAACATTCACCTAAAATAGTTTCATTTCTGTTCTTAAGCACTAGCAGCTCCATGGTGTTCAGTTGTATGTTGTTACAGCATTCATTACTGTCGTTTCAGATCTTTCAGGAGGTTTACAAATTTAGCCCTTGTATCTACAGTGTGCAAGATTTGCCTTGTCTACCTTGTGAAATGACAGTGTAAGGCAGCAATACTGCAATCCCGTGTTGAACAAAAGCAGCTTGTCCAATTAATCTGTCCTGTCACCTCTTGTGAAAACTGCAGCTTTGCTTCTTACACTCCAGCTCAAAACCAGCCTGCAGCAAGAGTGAAAGGACATTGAAAGAAACCACTGAAAAAAAATCATGGGAGTAACTTGTTTTGAAAGTTGAATTTGAGAGAGCTCTGCCACCTCTTTCTTGTTGAAAAAGAGTCATTTTCAG